TAAAAATAATTTGGTTGTATGCGACTTCCTTAAGAATTGAAACCATCTAATGTTCCTTTTTCGAACCATTTTCACTCATTCGGTCTAAGTATGGTCTAAGTATGGTGCCCTATTTATTGAATATTTTAATTATAAATATCCAATTCAACTGCCCAAGATTCATTCCATAATATTTAATTTCCCAAATAGAGAACATTAATGAGATAAAGGGAGAGAGAATTATTTTTGAAAAAGAAAGCTAATTTTGGAGGCTTTGTCATACCACTTCAAATTTAATTTCATTATTTTTTTTTTTGTAAAATTCAGATAATTTATTTGGTATATTTTCAAAAAACATAAGTTCTATGTTAATTTACAAACTTTTTATATGTTGTAGAATATACTATATTTAATATATTTAAAAATTAATTTTGCATTAAATAATTGTGTTGTATAATATTTTATATATTTTAAGGAGTATATTGAACTTATTAGAATTTTCTATATAACAAAAAAAGCTTTGAAATATTATTTTGAAAAAAAAAATATAAATGATTTTGTGAATTGTGATTGTTGTTCTATGTATACTAATTTATCATTTAACCTCTATTGTTAGTTGTACATAGATTATAGGTTTTTACAACATATTCAGTGATATTCACATATGATAAAATTGTTGCTATTTCAATGGCTTTATATCAAAATAATATGTGAAAAAAGGAAAGAAAATGGGAGAGGTGAAGATGGATGTGTGATTGGATGGTTGTATATTATGTTAATTTAAGTCAAGTTATAAGAGCTTGTAAACCCATATTATTTTGAATTTGTGTATTTGATGCACTTGATCATGTGTGAATAAGTGGAGATAAAAGTTTAGGTAAACATATAAGAAAAACTCAATATAATGACAAATAATAAATATGAACAAGTAGGGATATAAGAGAAAGTTAAGGAAAATGAAGTGAAACAAAAGCTATAAATATTCTAAAAAAATTACTATGTCAAATATTTATTTATTTTTGATATTATATTGCTTATATTGTTGCTTAACATAAACCTATTGTTGATAATAATTCTCATACTAACACCATACTTGATACACACAACACCTGATATATTATCATATTTCCTTAGTTATTTAAAATGAATATCATTTTTTTTCTTTTTTTATTTGAGCTTCGAAAACTATAGTATACCCATATTTTAATCATGTGTTATTTCAAGAAAGGGTAAGACCTAGATTGAGTGGAAGTTATTTGTTATTGTTGAGAGTTTAACTTTAAGTATGTTACTACCATATCTATTCCTTTGACAATCATGATGATATGTGTATTGGGTTGATTGAATGATTTTATCATGATTGCTACATATGCTTTCTTTTATTGCACAGTTATGATATGATCTAATTAAATTTAAATGATTTTTATCTAATGATATTTTGATGATATTAGTGACATTGTATTTATAACAATTAAATAAAAATAAATAAATAAACTTTCCTCCAAATAATTTGAATTAAGCTATGTTATATCGACATGAGGCGAGCCGTCTTCCAAATAATTTGAATAATTATTAAGCTATGTTATATCGACATGAGGCGAGCCGTCTTGATATGTTGGGTTGTACTGGGCCTGGATTTGACAATCACTCCCTCCATGGAATAAATTCACCCATGGGACTTAGGAAACTCATCTCATTCTCAACTTGGGAAACTCACCCATTATGTATAAGTTCACTTATAAATAGTAGAGCAAATTCACTTCTTAAAAAACATTGTATATGATTATGTATAATCTTGCTTAAATGAATCAATATCAAAACTCAAACATTAATGTTGTTAACTTCATAAGCCCAAATTGGATATGTCCTAGCCAATAGTTTGACTCTCCCCTTTGCAACCAACATTCTTAATGAGCAACACACTAATTCCCTTCTTGGCAAGTCTAAATGGTGATCCCCCATAAAGACCATGCACTCACAAAGGAGCAACCCATTAAAGGCAACCAAGTCATTCTCAAGTATGTGAGCAATAAAGAGACCAACTACTATTAAAAATTAGGTCAATGATAAGATAAATAAAACAAATAAGTGAGTTTAACAAGTCAACTGAGCCTATCCATCACTGAAGGGTTGTTGATTAACTCTCCCTATAAAGACGAACAATGTATACACTTCACTAATAATTAATGAATAAAAATTTTATCATTATTTTTATTTTATAATTGTCTTTCAAAGATACTAAAGAATCAGTAATTAAATATATACCCCTAAGGTGGTCTGCTAAGTTGATATGTGGAGTTGGCACTTCGGTTCGGCTCGTCAAGTTGACTCACCAAGTTAACTGGTTGAGTTGACCCACCGAGTTCTGATGGTTGAATATTAAGGGTCATGTATCAAGGGTTGAGCTCAACACAATCTTAGCGCAAGCATTCATTAGTTTAAATATATAGCCTTCACCATAGCATCATTAATCTCTTATTACGTAATTTTTATTGTATTAGGGTAAATTTTATTGTAACACTTAAGACACCAAATCCTCCTATAAATATGTGATATTGAGGAGACCCTAGGGACCATCATTTGGCTCCTCTATTGGCTACTCCTCTACTTTGTTTCCCTTTTCTCCCCCTCTTTTCTTTTAATGCTAGTAAGCTAGCATAATAGACTACTAAATTATGTTCTTCTATAAATATTGATCTACTCCTCTACTTCTTTTTCCTTTTCTCCCCCTCTTTTCTTTTAATGCTAGTAAGATTTAAACATAACCCACAAAGAAATTGGAGTCAAACATGTAATAAAAATGGTTTTGCTTGTTTATATTAAATATATTCTTTACATAGGCCAATAGATTGGCTTTTAGTGTCAAGCTTTTAACTTGTAATTTTGAGAAATTTCACAAAAAATTAGGGTTATAGTGGGAATATTCCAAATTAATTTTAGATTTTTTTTAAATTCTTGGGGCATTTAAATACATTACGCCAAATTCATATGTATTTACATATATAACACCTAAACTTAGCTGTGAAATATATATTTTTATACATTAAAAAATGTGGTACAAATGTAAAAATTAAAGTTGAGGTGTTAGATATATAAATACCTAGGAATTGAGTGGCAATGTATGAAAATCTTACTAACTTTTTGTCTAAAGCCCTCATTAATGCTTAGTAATGTCAGGAACATCAAAATGGCACCTTTTTTAGCACAAAAACCGAGCCACTTCATTCCAAAACAGTCAAGACAGAGAAGAGCTAACATCTAACAAAAGGAAGGCCTATATTATCCCCATGGATCAACATTTTTGAAGGGAGGTGTAGTAGCATGATCAATTAACTACAACATCTATGGTAGAGCCCCTCTTAGCAAGCCAATCAACCACCTTGTTTCCTTCTCTATGAACATGGCTCCAAACAATATTCAATTGGCCGACAAGTCGAGTGAGTTGCTTTAACCAAACCGTGAGGTGCCGAGCTGTGATACTTTTGCATTTCAAAATCTCCAACAGCTGCAGAGAATCTCAATATGTAGGTGTTATTGCTGCAACAATTACCCTACAAAAGAATTTTTGCTCTAGACCAGTGCACTGAATGTTGGAAGTCACAGAAATATATTAATCATTTAACTGGAATGGTTCCTTTTATTGATATGTGGTTCATCTGGATGGTCATCCACAAGATTGTTTCTTTTGGGAGAGTCAAGGATAAGCATTTTTTGAGGTTGCAACAAGTATTTCAAACACTAAACATTCTTGTCAGGAAACCAATGAAGAGGAAAGTGCAACTATTTTTTTAGAGGACTCCAAGATGGCCATGGATTTTATGTATGTATGTATGTATGTTTGTATGTATGTGTATGTATGTGTGTGTATGTATGTGTGTGTGTGTATGTGTGTGTGTGTATGTCTGTCCGTGTGTGTGTGTGTGTGTATGTGTGTGTGTGCATGTTTGTATTGATCTATGTTTGTATGTGTGTATATCTATATTTGTTTGTGTATGCCTGCCTTTATGTCTGTCTGTATGTGAATACGCATGTCTGTGTGTGTGTCTATATGTATGTATATATGTTTGTGTCTGTGTATTTGGCTATATGTGATGTTATGTGTGTGTGTGTGCGTGCGCTTTTTTTTTAATAAGATGATTAACAAATTTTTTTTAAAAATAGAAATAAACAAGCAATTAATGAAAATTTAAATTAATATTCAAATACTTCACACCAAATGAATGAGATAATATATAACTTACAAGTAATTTTTCTTGCATCCAAATAATATAAATAAATACTAGCAAATAATTCAATAAAGCAAAGAAATAAAAAGAATTGCATTCGATTAAAAAAACATATTAACATTAAATTATAATAAATTAATATTAAATATATAATTAAATAAATTATAACTAATCATATTTCATTTGAATAATATATCACGTGCATATAAATCATTCAACAAAATTATTTATCAAACAATAAATTAGCTTCATAAACGTAAATGAACGAGCTAAATCATATTTATATTTAGTTCATTTAATCTTCAAATTTTAAAACAAATCAAATTTATTTATTTAATAATTTGAGCAAAACTTGTGCGAATATTAATTGAGCTAAATTATAAAAAATAATAATGATTGCAATATTTTTAAAACCAAACATGACATAAATATAAGGAGCATTTACATGCATACCACCTAATCCCTATTTATTGACATGTCTAACACCTAAACTTTATTTTTTCACATTTATACCACCCAAATCTCTTAAATCACATCAAAAATACAACATCTTAAATTTTAAAAAGTGAAACATATTTTCATACATAGGAAAGATGGCATGTATGTTAAAATTGAAGTTTAGGTGTTGATATGCAAATACATAAGAATTGAGTGGTATATATGTAAATATTCTTTTTATAAACTTTGGGACTAAAATGACCTCTTGCAAAGAATCAGAGAATCAATCTGACAATCTTCACCGAATAGAAATGTGCAATAGGTAGTTCAATACTAAACCAAAACGTTTATCCGCTATCAAAAGAAAGTGATTACCTGCACATCAGAATCTAAAACAAGAATAATTGGTTGCCTGATAACATTCATGCCCTCGCCAACTGCTTTCGAAATCAAACTCTTAATAGATTTGAGAATTGGCCTAACTCTTTTATTATGGTAAGCAAATGTCCTGAGTTTATGCATCCCAGAACATCCTCCCCAGCCAAAGAATCCATTAAAAAGTAGTGATTGAAAAATGCAGGCTTCAGCATCAAGGACAGACGAAGCACCACTGAGTATAACTTTGATGAGATTATCATTGAAAATAAAATCACATTGGGAATTCAAAGAATTTGTCAATTTCTCAGCAAAATTTTTGAGAGATTTGGCATCCAATCCCTCGCCCAAGAGCAAGCACTCCCATGATCCTATCCATTCATGATTCATTGCTCTGCGTCAAAACAGAAGAAAAAGAAGTCAAAAGGTAAATAAATAACAATTTGTGCATCATTTTAGTTTTGAAGAACATAAACCAAAAACTTAAGGCTTATTTGAGATCACTTTTTTCTTCTCTTTTGTTTATAAAAATATTTGTTCAGTGTGTTTTCAACAAATTTTAGTAATTATTTTCTTAAAAAAATAAATTAACAATTCAAAACACTGATCAGTTTGAAATATGTCTAAGTGTTTTTAGAAACAACTTTAATTAAATCAACTAATCAAATATGTTTTGTTTCAAATTAAAACATAAACAAACGAAAAAAAAAAATTAGAAGTGATCCCAAACATTTTGAAAGTAGCATGTTGCTTAAACATACTTCAATAAATTATTTAGTTGATCGTCATAACTCTGTCTTTCAGACAACCACATGATGTACCCAGCTTCATCATGGACATCAGTACGGAAAGACAAATAATTAGCTTCTAAAATGATCCTGTACGAGGGAGCCACGTCGTCAAACACAGCACTACTCCAGGGACAATGCCAAGGTTTGAGCTCCTTGCATGGACTACACATGGGCTGAAATTCTGGCAGCAGGTAAAATAAAAATTTTATAAGCATATTTTTATAAGGGACATAACATTTTGGAAGACTTACATCCATAACACTCAATTCCTATATTTTTGCATCTCTAACGCATATAATTCAATTTCTACATACACACTACCTTATACATTAAAGGGTGTGTCTCCTTTTTAAAAAATTAAAACGGTAGTATTTTTTTGTGATATGAAAAATTTGGGTGGAATAAATGTAAGTAAAAAAAGTTTTAAAATATTAGATATGTGAATACATATGAATTGAGCATTATGTATCTAAGTGCCTAACATTTTTACCATTTGACTCTATGCTAAGCAAACACATATACCTTCTGATATTGAATCAACGGGCAAGCACATAATAATCGGTTGTTTGTTCCCATCAAACCGTGTGATAAGCAAACATGCCAGAAATAAAGAAGAGGGAATCAGTTCCTCCCCAAGCAGGTTTACATAATCACCATCAAGCAAGCTAATGCAAATAATTGAAATTCTAGGGAGGCCAAGGAAAAAGTGCTCAATGAACTCTGCAAGATTTTCAAGCTTTTCTGGTGCATATCTGGAATAAAATAAACATAATTATAGTCGTTAATATTCAATTAGATCCTAAAAACGTGAAATAAAAGGTATAATTTAAACACAACAAACCTTGAGATATAATTTACATTTGCATCGCATTCCAATACATTCTCGCTTTCTAGGCCCTGCAAAGAAACACAAATGAGAAGAATAACAATATTATGAGAGTTAAATTCCTGCCAAAAATGATTGAACTAGATTGAGAAAGATGAACAAAATCGGACAACATGCTAGATAAGTTTTTTTCTGCAGACCGAGGAGGTCAGAACAAAAGCATCAATCAAGCAATTTCTTCAATACAATTAAAACTCGTCACAGATCTAAATTGTAATGGAAGTTGTGAAAAAAAAGGGATGAATACATTTCGAGTAAAAGAAACATTGATATTTATAAATCAAGCAGCAAAGTGATCTTTAAATTATGAAACCGATACATTTAGACGTGCCCCGGTCATACCATTGTGAATTTCATAAAAATGAAAAATCTGGGTTAGGGCTTTATCATGACCTTTGATATTTGAGTGAGAATTTGAAAAATAAATGAAAGAAGGTGCTTAATTTGTAAATAGCAATGTTTTGGCTGCCATGTATGTAATCGCCCAAACAAATTATAAAGTAAATATAAAATAAATAGAAGAAATGTCGATTAAGAAACTTGAATTATTTCCGCAAAAAGAAGTCAATCTAGAATAAGAACCATGAAAAACGGAACAATAAGTTGCCAAAAAATTTAATCGACCGAACAAATGAGAATTAGCTATAGTGTTACATAATTCCATCAAGATGGTTAGTTAAAACTCACGACAATTCTAAATTGGATAGGAGCTGTTCGGGAAAAAAATACAAAATAAGTCAAGCACCTCATGCAACAGTAAGAATAAAAAAATGGAGAATGAAGATGGCTAGAGCCAACAACAAATAATTAAAAATGAGGCTAAGGATGACGAGAAGAAGAAAAAATAGCGAAGTAGGATGGCTAGGTAGAAGTAGCTTGACAATGCGATGGAGTTACTAGGTAGTGGCAGTGATGTATGACGGTTGAAAAGACTGGAGGAAGCTGATAGGATGGTGATTGGCAACGGTAGACAACTCAGCGAGGGGGTTCACGAGGCCATGGAAGCAAGGTAGGAGGCTGAGAGGAGGAGGGTGCAGGGATGGTTGTGACTGCAATGACAACAATAAAGGGGGTTGGAATCGCAAAAAGGTAGTGAGCGGGCTATCCTCATAATGACAGCGGCAAGGGCAAGGGTTGGCGGCAAGGAACATCAAATTGGGAGGGGTCGGGAAGTAGTAGACAACTATATGAAAACAATAAGGTAGTTGTTTTGTGTATTATGCAAAAAAGAATTGAAGGAAAAATGTATATTAATGATATGGATTATATAGTATGATTCCATGTCCATGATTTACCATGATGGAGTTCACGCTCTTATAGTATTAGCTGTGAGACGCTAAGGAACATGAGCACATAAATGAGAAAGGTAATTGATTTTCATATACCATAAATAATATAACTTTAGAAAGTGCTCCTCTGACGGAGTACGTAAAATGATATAAATATGAAAATGATGTAATATGATATAATAAGGTTCAAAATTTCTTGATTGATCTCATTCATAAATAAAAAATGACAAATTTTTGCAATGGTTTATCAAAAATTTTAACTTTTAACTGACATGCATATTATTTTCTTCTTCATTGTATTACTATAGTTTAGTAGCAGAAGTATTCGTTGCTTTTGGTTAGATTATTTTAATTTACATTAACTTCAGGTTCAAGATTTCGAGAAAAGATGAATAATAGAGGAGATAATGTTTTATAAAAATGCTCGACCAACCAAAAAAAATATAAATATAACTGCATTAACTATTTTCTGTTATGTAGTGACTATCATTTTTATTTGAATAATTAAATATTAATTATAGAAATGAAATTAAAAAATTTTTGATTAACATCGCCCGACCGTCTGTTCTAAACTTAAAAATTTCTAAGCCCCAGACATTGTAACATATCTCTAGAAATCAATGTAAATGATTTCATTCTATATTTTAGCTTTAACATAGTGGGTAAAATCATGCACCCTAAGTTGATTCTCAATTGAACGAACTTAATGGTAGCAAAATCACGGTGGATGATTTTACGAAGAATTAAAATCATGCAACCTATTATACCCACGTCTATAATTTTGTGCACAAATGGTCTTTGGCCACATAATTTGTTTATTTAAGATGAAGGCAATCAATTACAAAATATCTAAAAAATTAGTAACTGTCAAATATTGCTTTTTTAATCAAAACAAACCAAGTTTGCCTCCTACATGCCGCTTAAACTATAACAGAATAAATTTGAAGAATAAGAATATAAAAAATGCAACAAACTATATAAACCTCAGCCTAGCATCTTGATATATTTCGCCTATCATCTTGTTCTATAAAAGAGCATGAATTAGAATGCTTTCCAAAATAAACAAAAAATTAATTAAAAGACAAGTTCAAGATTTATGATTTCTTATGCGAACAAAATTTCAATGGACAACCAAGTGCATTCTTAATTGCTCACCTTATAAGCCTTGAAATTGCGTTCCTTATCTCTA